AACAAGGAAGACACTGATGGCTTGTAACTGTGTTGTGTTTACGCTTTTGTTTCAAATCGGGTTTAACGAACGAAGATTGTCTGATGTCTCGTTTTTTCCTTTGTTAAACGTGATCTGAGACCCGGATTGGGGTTTAACTGAATTGGTAGAATACTGATCATAGGCTTCGTAGACTTACGTGTCCCATCAGAATAGAATTAAAATGTGTGAATAAGAGACTAACCTAATATTCAATAGCTGGAAAGCTATCAAAATGAATAGCTTTGAATGATTTAACTATATTTGTAAATTCACACAATTAAACAGTGTTCTTATTTGTTTTGTAACCTGGTGGCCAGTACTTTAAGATGCGTTGATGAGTTTCAATGAAAGGTAAAGGATTTCTGCAAAAAGAATTTCATCCGTGGGCCTTCTTCCAGTATTCACCAAATACCACATTGAAGTTAATGGCTAGTGAGTCTTAGACTTAACCAAGTGCTCAGTAATACATAAACCACTTTTTCTCAAAATGGCCAAAATGGGGTTACGTCTTTGTGTCACTGACCCCTCGATATTAAGGAACTATGGCTTTGAGGGAATAATATGGCTATATAATATCGTCATATTTATGAATAGATGAATTAGCAATGTGAGAGTGATTTGAATGATCTAGTGATAACATTGCCAACAAGCAATCTATGTTGTGCAAAAGGGACCTTTCCCATTTCAACAAACACGTAACGATACGTGGTTAGTACGTGCCTACCATCGGCAGTGTGCAGTCAATAGCGATAAAGCGCTAGTTTTTTAAAAGTTTTTTTTAAACAAGATGGAAATTCGATGTTGATCCTGGCTGTAGTCAGATGGATTACTTTTTTTTCCTTATGTTTTTAATGGGAGCAGGATGAATCGTCATCATGCGTTTATTCAATCATATCCATACACTTTGCGGTTTGCTGCCATCACCGGCAATGAAATGTTCATACTTTCTGTAAAGTTATGATTACACGGAAAACATAATTAATGTATTGATGGAGGAAGGGGAGAGGGAGGGGGAGGGAAGGGGGAGGGGGCAACTCAAATTCAAGGGGAAAAAAGTCAATACCTCCTCCCCTTCGTAATATCGAGGGGAACTTATCCCAAAATTCTCTACTCCCCAACTAAGAGACCCAGGAGAGGGTCGGCATATTATCCAAATAATAATCCAAAATAATCCTCTTCGCAAACTTTTTTTTAAAATGGATGTCATCCTCTCACTCTATAACCATGTTTTTGTCGTGATCTTGGGCAATATGTCTTTTCTAAAATAAGAAATACTGATTTACTGTATTTTAATGCAATACTTGTTTTAATCGTACAGAGTGTTTACTTTTGACTATACTTTGACTGTATTATTACGCTGTGACCCCACCCATCCAGCTCCGATTTTTTTTTTTATAGTTTTCTCTCTCTTACCATTACCATCCCAATCCTTCGAATTTACAGTGTCAGTCAAAATATGGATATCACGTGGATAATTCTCCGACGACCACCCCCGAGACATTTGTTCTGTGGGGGAGGGGGCGGGGGCGGGGGCGGGGGCGGGGGCGGGGGTGGGGGGGGGGGGAAGAGGGCGCATACTATGTGTATATGTATATGCCAGGGCCCACTCTTCATCGGTCTTGTAAAATAGTTGCGATTGATCGCAAGCAATTTGCAAAAATGAATGACATCAATCGCAACTCATTAGTAATGAGATAGGAGTTGCGATTGTCTAACTCCCCCACTTCATCTAAGCCACAATGTGTGCAAAGGTCGTTGGTTAAATGCACAAGATAATATGATACATCATGAAAATACGTCCCAAGTTAAATACAAGTGTCTCTGTTCTGAAGTACCTTATTATGTACCCTTTTTAATAGTTATTATTACTTTTTTTTAACAGACAGTGTTTCGTAGAGTTCAATGATCACTTTCTCATTGTAGGAACTGTTAAACGTGTGCGTTATTTTACATAAGTTCTTACAATGCTTTTTAAACTCAGAAAACAAAAATCAAAGTATTTGTGATTTTAAAAGTGTTCTTAGCCAGTTACAATAATGTCCGATGTTAATTTTTCTTTTCGTTTTCAATCAAGGGAATTGTTCCTAGCCCGTAAATAAAATATGTTTAATATGTGCTAGCGATGCTTGTATTAAAGAATAAACATGTGTGTTATTACCATACCTGATATATTATCTTTAATGTGTATGTGTCACTGTTGGAGAAAAACGAAACGCAAATAGAAAAATAACCGTACTGAATGTTCTTCATTGGGCCGTTTCTGTAACCATGGTTACGATGGCAATTCAAACAATTATTTTAACATGCTCTTCTAGTGCATCGTCTCTACCCTAGTCCCTACCTAGTACAAACGTACAACCCAACTCTCTCTCTCTCTCTCTCTCTCTCTCTCTCTCTCTCTCTCTCTCTCGATACGCCTTTATTTGGTGTGTATGTTCGGTATTTAAAATTAGGTATTTGAATTTCCATTTCTTTACTAAAAGACGCTTCATCGATTATATTATACAGCCATGGAGCCATAAACATACAAAACAAACTACTGTTAGGAAACCGTTCCTCTTCGCTAACCTTCTTCCAACCGCATAGCATTAGTTGGTTTCAAATCATAATGCATAATCATCACAAAGGATTCTCTTTATATTTAGGTGCACGTCATACAATTTTAATTTCATCTCACATCAACCAACAGCAAAATAGTAATAATGGCTATCTTGAATGATTTGCAACAAAATGCAATATTTAAATTCGAAAAGTCATATTTGTAAATGTAATTGATTTTGACCGATGTTTAGCACATAAAGTCAATCACTACCAGAAGACTATAACTTATCCAATTATCTGTACTATCAGAAGACTAGGAATCTATTTCTGTTCATTATAGTTAAATAATACAGGTTTTTATATTTCATATGTCTAAAAGTTAATAACCCCATCTTGTTTGGATATTTCAGGCATGCACTACAATATAGATCATGTGCTGTATCAAGCAAGCTTGATTATTATAATTTACATATTGTGCACTCTACATGATACATACGTATATATTGTATACAATTTTTGATATATTTATAAACGAATCCCACTCAAAAGACTAAATAAAATGTTGAAGGCATATTTTCTGTTCACATAGTAAAGTATATCAGTAGAGGAGATCTTCGTCATTGTTAATAACACCTAAAATCAACAAATTTGAAATAGCTAATTTACAATAGGACTGAAGAAATTATGTACATGTATTATATATGATTTATAACAAACAATTAGATACAAGTGTCGCTAATCAGTTTACCCAGGTAATTACATGTATCTGGTAATTCAAGTTCCACTTCTGCATTCTCAAAATTATACGAGACTGCATCCATATTTCGTAGGTTATGACATTTGTCTAGAACAATGCTTGTTTTGGGGTATTTTTTGCCAAGATTTAATCATCGTATAGTTATGACAATACAAGTTTGGATGATTCTAGTTTGATAGCAAACGAGAGTTTAATAGCTGGTATTCGAGCAAAAATGATAATAACCTATAACTTCATGGACTTTATGCCATGCATACACACTTGTTACTAACAATGTCTGAAAATTAGCGTGCTTATCTCACGCTTTACATGGTTACATTACATTTGACATTGAAAAGCTAAACAAAATATAAAAGGAATATATGGATTAAAATCAAAACCTCAACTAGACACAACATGAGCGAGAAAGAACACTTTTCTTTAATCGTTTCTCTAAAAAAAACCTGACAACTTCCGCACTAGCCTACTTTCTAGAAAAAATAGGTTGGAATAAGTCGAAATGTGATTTTCAGTACACACTGATATAGCTGAAGCCACAGTGCGCTGCAGCGGAGCAGGGCTGGCTTATCCATAAAGGTGGAGAGTGGAATTTTCTAAATCATCCTCTTAATTAAACTTTGTTTAGCCTTTCCAAGCCTTTTCTTAACCTGTGTTTTGTGTGTGTGGATTGATGAGACAATTCGACTTCCTTCTTTTCTGTACACCATTATTTATCTGCACTTGTAAAAACCAATGCAATTTTAAATAGCCTAAAAACTGCAGATGGATTAAGTAAAATCTAAAATCTTTTACTAAGTAAAATAATTTTTATTAAGATTTATCGTTTATTAATACTTGATGTCAAAAAAGGAAAAGCACGGGATATTTCGCTTGGTGTTCGTTTCCCTGATAACCCTAAACAATAATGATGAGTACTAATTGACGATTGATCACAAAATTCATCACAACATACAAGAACAAAAATAATTAATTTTGATCCTGTAACATAAAGTTACAGTTAAACGTATCCCCCCAGATTAAGTGTATCATATTCAATCAATTATTATGAATGGTAACGTATGATTATTTTCTGTCACAAATAGATATGATCATGATAATGATGAAATAGAATTAATGCCTCAAGATGGGCTAGATATAACATAATTGTATGATTGATTGTATGTCAAGTTTGTAGTTACAGGCCCTCAAAGGCATGATACTCTTTGCCGTTAGATCTTATGTTTTGTTTAGCAAAATAATGTAAAGAAATGTCTTGGACAATGCCAAAGGACACTGTGCCGTGACAGGGATTCGAATCCCCTCTTGCTTCATAGTCCAGGGACCTAGCCACCAAGCCACACCTCCCCACTGTGTTTATCCTGTTTTTGTGTTTGAAAGCAGCTCTTACGATGATGCGAATACTCCTACTGTTCAAAATGTAATAGCAATTACAAAAAATAAGAATATTGATAAGGAAAATGATATTAATTATAACAATTATGATATAATGATACAAATTAATAATAATTCATAATAATAATGAATTATAATAATTTTAATAATAGTAATGATAATAATCATGATGAGGATGATGATGATAATAGTAATACAAATAATGATAATATTTATATCATAATTATTATTATACTATTGTAATAACATAATTTTTGAAACAATATCACCATCAAAATTTAGTAGAGGTCTTCATGCTGTGGAACTTCCGTTTATTCAGCTATGCCAAGAACTTCATATCGCATGGCCTGGTGCCCCTGCCACGTGACTGGGTGTATTCTGACGTATCGAGCAGTGATTGGTCGAGGGAACAGTATGGTCTCAGGAGTGCTGTTATCGTAGTTTGCTGCGTAGATCTGAAGATCGTGAGGAAGAAGTTATCATTTTAAGGGCATTGTATGAATTTTTCGGTTCAATCAAAAACAAAATTTATAACACTATATCTTTCGCGGCATAAAGCCGAGTTGCAAATGTGCACTCAAAAAGTAAAATAAAATTCAAAATACAAGTACAGTTCATGGAATACACATGATAGAATTGGGTAATAAGGATTTTTAATAAACACATGTAAGCTGGGTATCAGTATCGAAAATAATTACATATAATCATGTACAACGTAATATATAGTCAAAACTTCTCTCCAGGGGGAGGGGTCACCTCTCTTTCCAAAATATTAACTTTACCGTTGACTTTCTGAATTTGTGAAATGATCAAGCAAATTCAATTTTGACATTTATTAATCTAATGCAGTTTTGCCACGAAACATAGAAGATGAAACCAAACAATAGATGTAATTCCAATTAAAGAATCTCGCCGCTCGAATAGGCAACAGCAGTGTGAAATAATGAGCAAGACTGTTGAATAATAGTACAGGGAGGATGAGGGGTGGTAGCATATACCATGTGAGGCAAAACAAATGTTTACACCTAGAAAATTGCTTAAATATTTAAAAAAAAAAATCATCTATGGACAGTAAATTAATATACATCTTATGAAAGAATATTTTTATCCTAGATCATTTGGTATCATTTTTGTGTGGTAAGTGGTTTGTGCCCATGCTTGGATGAAAAGGAGGCATTGATTGCGACTGTGCCTAATACTATCATGAGTTCAAATACAAGCGCAAGCGAGTTAGCACGAGTCGATGACATATGAAGGGCAAAATACGTGTTGTGAAGTGGGGCTAGTTTTAACGTTTAACTTTTATGCGGCCGGCCCCCTCTATTCTGGAATGCCCCCAATCTCCCACAGACTATTCTCCTCTTTGTAGGGCCGGGGAAGGCTTTATCGTGAGTGCTATTACATGAACCTTTTTTAATAAATATATTATGCGGAATTCCGACCCAGATTGCACAAAGTAAAATGATGATCATCCCCAATACACTTGCGGTTTACATGTGCACTTCCTCCGTATTCCCTTATCCATGGTTACCGTCACTCCCATTTATGTATGGCCGGCCCCTTCTTCAATAACGGCTCCCAAGCCTTCGGGAATGACCCCACCATTCGGCCATTTTTAGAGGTGATTTTACACTAACCTTTTTAGGCAACAAGCATGCTTAGAATTTTTGAAAATAAGCTGAATTCCATACTCGGTTGTGCACAACCTAAAGAATTAGAATACAGTCAGTCACCCCGCCCCCTCCATGTGCGCACAATTCACACGCATACCCCCCCCCCCCCAGTTTTTGCCTTATTCGCCGTTACTGTCACTGAGAGTGCCATGTCTTTTTCCCTTTCTCAGCCGGCTTCTCTCTTCATTTTTTTCTTCTTTTTTCTTTCTTTCTCTCTCTCTTTCTTTTCTTTTCTCTTTTCTTTTCTCTTCTCCTTATTTTGTCTTCTTCTTCTTTTTTTTCTCTTAAAAATAAATAAATTATTTTCCTTCTCTTTATTTTTTTGCGCCGCCAATAGGGGCACGATGAATATATAAGAGTCTTTAAAGTTCAATGCGAGGCAGTCTGTACAAAAGGCAAGGGGAGATCTTGCTAAGTCAATGCTCTTTAATTGTACTTTTTTTAAAGAATGCTGTGGGTCAATTAGTCTTTTAATCATTCGTTATATAATTAAACTTTATTTTAATGACCAACGCTTTGGAATACACATAAACACACCATTATTCTTTGTGTCAGGCCTACTTACCTTGATTTCCTTATCTTTCTATGCCCATTACTCAACCAGTATACATTTTATACTAAAATTGTTTAGCAAATGACACTTATTTGTAATCTTTAACATTCAGTGTAAGTTCCGTTAGAGTATGTGAGAATTCATTTTTTATTAAACCAGAACTCAAGGTTATCTTTAATGTGCATCAACAACAAGTCGACAATGCAAGATTTCCCTATGCCTTTTGCACACACAGTCTTGCATTGAACGATAATGGCTATATATTGTATATATATATGCTCTAAATGACATGTGCTCAGTTTCCGAAGTTGTATCTGACTGGCATAAAGTACTTACTTTTTGTTCACCACATTGTGGTTCCAAAGCGTAAGTCCACATCACGTTATCCAGCGAATAGGACACCTTGACAGAAGTAATCCATTGTACCGACCCGTATCTGCCTTGTACGATAACACCAGTGACGGTAGAGGTCTTTCCCAGATCTATCTGACTCATCAATGCATTAATAGAAGTAAGACTTAGCAACAAGTATATACTGATAAATAAATATATATATATATATATATAAATATATAATGTATATTTTTAAATAGCTTTGACAACCCAAATATTGGCTACTCTCTTGGAAATAAATACACATTTGTAAGTGATGCAGGTTTTATTAGAGAATGAAGGCGCGTAGCTCTATCAAAGTTTCCCATTGCTGTCCTACCTGTTTTGATTGGCTTACATGTAGAACGCCAATGCTGTTAAACGACTAGACCAAGGAGACGGGCCAGTGAAAGAAAGTTAGATTGATTGACAGTTTGACAAGTGTAAATCTTTATTGATCCTTTGTCGGGGTGGGGTTGGGAGGCAGATGAGTTTTACAATGACAAGCCGCGGACCTCAGTCGGACCCTAGCTTCGAGCTTGAATACGTGCCAAGTCGTAACATATATTTACAATATATATACATAATGTGTGCATGTGTGTATGCATCTGTGTGTATCTGTTGTTGTGTATAAGATGACGATGAAAACAAATTTGAAGAAGAGAGGTTTCATGCTCTTCATCCAATTTAAAAAAAAATTAAATCCCAAATTTCGAAATTTCGAAATTTCGAAATTTTCTAACATCTTTATGTAGTGATCAAGACAACACAATATTAAGAATGAAAATCACTAGAGGTTTTCCAACTGTCTAGGGCAATGTGAAACAAGTTTATAAGTAGGTGTGTTTGCAAAATTTACGTATAGTTACAAGGAAATACTCACTTTCAAAGCAATAGGGCGAGGTTATATAAATCATCAATGATTAATACCATCTTTAGGGTTCGGGTGAGGGTTTCATTTGGACTTTAACTAGCGTTAATATTGCAGGTAGATAGTGCTATTTAGTTTACGAACTTCAGGAAGAACGGCATTCATGCTGAAGTTGCTTTCCGGGGCGATCGTTACTATAATTAGTTTTGTCGGACTCACCTTGACCCATTTATCTTTGTCATCATCACTGGCAATCCATGCCTCTCCTGATACTCCACCGTTCAATCTTCCATCTGATGCAGTGTAAAGATAATCAAAACTGGAAGAGGAAGTGAGACTAGAGTCTGGGATTCGTCCATCTTCCACTCCCATTTCTTCCCCTCGGATAGGACGTGAACAGCTTCCCTCTTCATGGTTCATTGCAGCTGAAGACAACAAACGTACAAACAAACTTTGTCAGTATTTAAAAGAGATCTATTAAGTTTTTTATGGTTAAAAAGCTAGTTGCTAAAAGAGTTTTCAGAAAACCGAAACTCTTTGAACTCATTTGAGTTCAACTACTGCGAACACACCACAGGCGTGCATAATGGCATAATGATACCGCATTGCACCTCCTACGAACTGGAGATGAACACAAGTGAACTTTTAGAATACCACCTCTAACCAACAACAGAACGAACAAGAAAATACGACTGGCCCCAAGTTTTGAGTCGTTTTGGAGTCGATTTGACGATTGGACTCAGGTATTAGCGTCGTAATTAGTGCCGTGCTGGCTAATCTCCAGCCGATTATTTAAACCGTTCGATAACATCACCTACATAGATACTAAGTGATGTGGTCCGGTGGATAAGCCACCGGACTGAAGATCACAGGGTCCGCAGTTCAATTCCCTGTCCTATACAAGTGTCCTTTAGAAAAACATTAATCTATACTTTCCCATGAGTACCTGATATGTTTCAGCGCTAGTTACTCTGGTGACTCAGCTATAACTAGTGTAACAACAGAGACTTTTGCACGTCGACAAAGTGGACTGCTACGTGTGACGTCCTTGTAGAGGTGTTGTGGTCGAGTGGATACGTCACCGGATTGTCGATCACAAGGTCGGCGGTTCGAGTACCGCCCCTGCAGTAATTTCCTTTGGCAAGACATTGATCTACACTTGCCACACTCAACCCAGGTGAGGTCAATGGGTACCTGGTAGGATTATTCTTTGAAATGCACTGTGCACTGATCAGGCTGCCGGAGCTAAAGCTAGGGTAATAATTTCCGAAGCTCTTTGGAAGCGCATAGAGATGTTATTTCATGACGTATTATGCGCTATACAAGTCCTTAAAAAGACGTCACACGTAGCAGTGCATTATGTCGACGCGCAAATCCATGAGCGCCACAGCATGACGTGAGGGATTAAACAAGTGATATGTCCTTGTTTAAGTGGCCCAAACACGTGGATCAATGTGCGAAGCGCTCTATAACTGCAAGGAAAGGCGTTTCATCAAATACATGTACCATTTGGATTGGCTTGAATAAGAAGACATTATTATTATTCCAGTCCTTCTTTTGCTGCTGGGTCTTTTTAAGGATGTAGCCTTACCCACCTATTAAGTCATTGAGAGGTCCATAGCCAGTGAGCTCAAGCCTGAGGGACCGGTGTACATTATTGGCCGTCTTTGGATAGATACGAAAGAATCGGCATTCGATCGGCTCAAAGATGGTGTGCACCACAAAACTATTTGGGTCGTAGTTTCCTGTGTAGACCTAAACGAGATAAATACAACCATAGGATAATGAGATTAACTTGAGTTTGAAGCGTTAAATTTCAAATATCAAATGATCAAACTAGTTATGTTACTTTTGAAATATTTGTTCCTTTCTTTCTTTGCTACTACTCATTTGTAATACATCTGTGAAAATTGTTCACTGTTCATTTCTTCACATTTTAACACTATGATAGAGACAAATCTTCATTTGCACATATTGCCACCTTTTCTGTACATATTGATGTCATTGAATAACCTATATCGTTGACCTTTATAAGACCCTTATATTCTTATAACTTTCCGTGTGTCGGTTGACACAATTCTTGATAATAAAATGTCATTTTAAGTGAACGAATAATCAAAACGTGGATAGGTTTTTATCAGCTTTCTTTTATTCTTTATTCTAGATCCTCATCACGTCATATGTTTTCTATTTTTCGCTATACTATTAGGCAGTTAGGTTTTTAAATATAAAACATTAACACAGCAATTTGTGATCAGGACACATTTAATGTTTCCGACAAGATTTAAAAAATGTTGTTGTTTCTGTCAGTTAGATTTTAATGGGGTTTGCACATTTTTTACTACTTTCTAACAACTTCCGACGTACACATCCAATTTTCTGTATAATTTTCTGTGTTTCTGAGTAATATCTTTCTCGTCCCTCCCTCTCTCTCTCTCTAAAATAATAAGATGATATAAGGGTGGAATAATAAACATCCAATAACGAAGTGAATTCTTTATAGGGGATTTCATTTATGGATATGTTATATTTATACTCAGTGTCGTGGCTGTATGGGGGCAGACGGGGGGGGGGGGGGGTTAGCACGTGCCCCCTAAGCCACTGATTATAATCATTTATTGCATTGGGATTTAAACTATTGATATGCCTCAAATAATCTTACTGTGTCACGTTGTATTTATCATTGGATAGACGTACCGAAGGCTTCATGATTATTCAATTGTTTCCTGGGCAAGATCTATACCCGTTTTGGAATGTTGTTACAAAACAAAAACGTGCAAATAAACCTACAAGTTACAATACAAATGAAATACACATCAATGTGAAAAGAGTTAAGTTAAGTTAAGTTAATCATCAAAAAGCTTTTTTGAATAAATTTGCCTTAAGACAACCAATCACGATCGGACAAGGGTGATTTTGCTAAACCACTGTGTTGCAGAAAGGCCAGGAAAGCAAACCAAGTGTTAATACCTTGACTGTGTTGGTGTTGATATCCTGGTAGTGGGTCCAAGATGCTCCGTCCATACTGGATGAAACTATGTACGATGTCACCCACTGGTCTGGACTATCTGCTCTGCCTTGCGTCAAGATGGCGGTGATTACATAGGCGGAGTTGAATTTGATCTGAAGCCAGGGGTCTTCGTCATCATCTTTGGGGACCCACGCAGAAGGACTGTTCAGACGGGCTTTTGGTTTACCCAACTTATAATTGTACCTACTCGAGATAGAAATAGCGCTGTTGGGAACCTTACCGCTTTCTAGACCGACTGGACTACCACGAGGTGTGGTACACATGTTCACTGTTAACAAACAATCACATGTCTTTAAAACTCAGAACGCTTTACCTTACCCCTACACTGACCCTCAACATTACCTTAATCCCTATTAAACCGTATTCTTAAACCTATGGCCCGTATTTATCATTATTATTTTTTTTTTTTACTAAATCTTAAACATTTCTAAAAATTTAACATGGAAAGTTTAATGTAGGGTCTCAGTTTTCTATCGTTAAACGTTATCTTAGACAAGGTCGTGTTTTTAAAGAATATATCTTTGACAAATTGAAGCTATGAACAATTGTCGCCTAAGAAAATGTCTGAGCACCGTCTTTTTTTTAGGTGTTCAGAATCCCTGTAAATTTTATTACGAACCTAAAATGAACAGTACGTGCCGAATAACGAGGAGGTTATAGATGGAGAGTCTCAACTAATGATAATAAGTGGCAATTCATTAAGGATGCACAGTAAAATAAACAGAGTGTCTTGATTCTGTGATGTCTGACGCTTCAAAACTACACAAAAGGGTTTTAGTCAATTTTTTTAAAACTATAGATAAGAGATGTTTTGAATGTGCAGTTGTAGATAATGCCCATGTCTTTCTGAATTTCCATGGCTTTAACATTGAGAATTTCTTGAGAAAAATATTTGACGGAACCCAAATAAATTCCCTTTAAAGGGTATTTCCAAACCTTTTCGTTAATTAGATTTTCGAAGTTTCATCTTGTTATAGTGAAAGATGTCTGTATGAAATGAAACCAATCAAATCTATAATTCGGTATGTAAAATATAATTGCAATTAGATATTCGTTGATACATATTATATTATGATGCAGCAAAACAAATTTTGGTTTGCCGTTTCCTGTCGTATTAGCTGAAGCTAATATATGTTGTGACTTCATCTATTTCAAGTCTCCTAGTCAGCACACTCCCATTATTCTGAAACACTTACCAGTACAGCAAACAACAGCTATACTCTCCTCCCTAGGATTGATCGCCGCCCTCTCTTCGTACCAGCAGTCAGTAATGCTAGTCACATCGACAGGGCATCTCACAGTCACAGCCTCAGAATTATTATCTAAGGACATAATCTCGAAGAGATCTCCTCCCACTGTCGCATATACATCTTTTTGCATATAATAAGGAAGAACAAAAAATATGAAAGATCAATTAGAAAAAAATATGTTTGCACTTCAAACTCTAGTTATGATTTGTCTTAATTATATGTAATTGTCTTAAATCCTCAAAGATATTGATGAATTCTGGTCATTGTTTATTCATCTTTATTCAAGGAAATACATATAACATAGTGATAAAAATGTTACATAAAACCCAGGACCGATATTTGAATTACATTAGATGCATCTCACTAGGAGACCTACGCCCTTAAGTCATAAATGACAGTAATGAGGATTAATGCCCCACAGCACATCGACACACACACACAAAATGCAATAGATTATCAATAATTCATTGAATTCCCCCCCAGTCCCCAACAGAAAAAAATATTCTGTGTGCAGATGCCTTGAGCCATAATGCATAGCCGTACAGAGGATTTTTTAATGTTGGGGACCGGAATTATTGGAAAATTTGTTGCATTTTCTTTTTCTTTTTTATTTGTGGGAACTGCCCCCTACCCTAGCCCCGCTGCGTACAGTCATGTTTCAGTGAAAAAGCAATGGCCTCGTAACTGTGAGGCCCCAGGATCAAAACCTCGTCGATGTGCTATATTAGTGCCCTTTTGTGGGGCATTATTCCTCATTATTGTCCTTTATGACTTAAGGGCGTAGGTCCCCTAGTTGATAAGCATAGCAGCGTACACATGCTTTATCATTCACGAAAAAAAAAAACACTGGCAATTATTTTTCAATAAAATCTGAGAATGTATACTGTTATCTAGATCTATTAGGAATAAATCGTTGTCAAAATAATTCCATAAACTGGGGTAAAAAAAAATATTCCAACTTTATGATCAACAGTGTATATGGAGAGAATACAGGACTGTAAACTTAATAAAGCATTTACCGTCATATCCTAGATACTTGCAGACCAACCGTGAAGCATTCCTGGACCAGTTTAATTGATGGATTAACATGTTGGTTGTAGGGCGAGAACGAGATGTGATAACTACTCTTCCTTCACTTTTACTTCCACCGACTAGTCTCACGGACTGGACGAAGGAGTCTTCATGCAATGAATTGAGCAAAAATACAAATTGTAATGATCCTGTTGCAAAAATGTCAGGACCGACCAAGGATTGATCCCCGGACCATTCGTATGAGAGTTATTAATGATAATTATAATAATAT